AAAAAAACAAAAAAAAAAAAAAAAAAGCAAGTAATCCTCCCCATCTCCCACTGGTTCAGGTATCATGTAATCCGAACACCATTTGGCTCATGGGACTTCCAACTGGTTCTCTATATTTACTCATAAATATTCTTCTCTACTTGTAAGTGAAAATTAATCTTTACCAAAAGAACAAAGAGGAAAACACAACTAACCTCAAAACATTAAGTACAAACTGAAATTTAAAAATGAAAAGGGTAATCCACTGACTTATAAATTAAGAGAAAAAAAAAACAAAGTAAATACTTCCCAACTCTGAAAAATGTTTAATATAGTTGTCAAAGTAGCTTTGGTTCTATTAGGATTGGCTGTTTGGAAAAGGCATGCAGCATATATGGTTGATAAGTTAACTTCTCTCATTTCAACTGAACACTGGTATCCATGTCTCTGCCCAATGATATCAAAACACAGAACAAATAAAGTATAATTTTGTTATGATTCTTTTAGTGACTGGAAATCTCCTAGACTTAAAAAAATAAAAGACTTGGCTTTATAATGGGCAAATGTTAAAAGTCCTTAATTGTTAAGCAATTCTAATTTTTTTTAATGAAATCACACATCTGAGGCTGGACAATCATCATCACTGGCGCAACTCAGCATGTAGGCAGATAAAGCAAAAAAAATGCTGTAGAGTCTTTACCTGAAACTCATGTGACGACGCTGTGGTGAGTATTTTTTCTAGTTCCTTCTTCACAGATAATTCTAGCTCTTGTCGAATAACTTCTTGGAACTGAGAAGCGCCATCTTGAGACATCGCTTTGCTAAGATCTTCAAACAAAAATATAAAATCACCAACTGAAAACTCTGACAGCCATTCAACTGCTGGTAAGCCATAAGTGATCTATTTCTGGTGTTCCAGCAAATGAAAAGGTCTCAATTCTATGGTCCCATTATCTTCTGGCAGGATTTCAGCAATGCTAACTAGTTAGAATGTATATCAAGTAGGCTCAAATTTGAGTGTTACATCTATATGCTTTACTAGCATATCTGGGACACTAATGAAAACACTTTTAGGTAGGTGGGGCAGGTGAAGTAAAAGGATTAATTTTCACTTGAGCATACAGTTCCATCTTTACTAATGCTTCTCTACTAGCCATCAAAACTAGAGAAAAATTTTTAAAACCGACATGACGTTAATAAGGGCATTTACAGAACTGTCACCTCATAAGAGAACTAAGGGATCTGGCAATTTCACAGAAGCAAAAGACTCCTCATTCTTTCTCTTCAGGCTAGATGAAAAATTTAAGGAATCCTTTTCATTTTAGGTGAACCATTCCAGTTTCAGATTCTCCACTAAAGAAGTGCCCACTGAGAGGTACTTGCAAATCCAAGGTGCCTCTACTTCCCTGCATCAAGATTTTCACTGTAAAAGGAGAAAGGCAACGTCTGCCCTCTACTAGTCCCCAATTTCAGCCAAGACTTTTCACTGCTTATCTGTGTCAGACTAAACTTTCAGGGCTTGTGGCTTATCTGGACCAACTCTGTGACAGCTGGATTTCACTAAGGGTACAGAAATGCCTATTAGGTGAACACAAACAAAAATAGAAAAATACAGGAAAGAACCATCCAAGGCCCAAATACCTTGGGAGAAAAATGTCAATACAGGTTTAACATATTGTACTATCTAGAGAGTAATCATCCTATTTACTTATCATAAAACAGGGACAATCGGATAACTGTCCACCCCTCCTCTTGTATCCTCAGTACCAGATTTAATTCTATTTTGTAAATGTATTTTTAAAGTATATATTCAAGTATTTCATTTGATAACTAGTGGTTTCTACAAATGCTCGGTTATTTAGCAGAAGCACATTCCAAGAAGACTAAAAACTCTGTCCCTTTATGTGTTCCACACCTTATATGTTATTTCACTTATTAGTTGGACAGGAGAAGGAAATATACACACAGAATTAAAGCCAACATAATCCATATTTTAAAGATACTTCTGAGAACAGTAAACTATGTAACTCCTGAGGCACTTTAATATAGATAGCCTCTGCCTCCTGCAAATATCTAAAAATGTTAACACATGAGATATTTAACATAGTTCTTCAAAAACCTTTTTACATACACTTTCCATCATATCAGAAATCCAAGAGTACAAAAAAGGAAATTTGGTGAAATTCAACCCTAAAACAGCCATTTTCTAATTGTGTTTTTTATAGGCATATACCACAACACAACTAAGTTTATACTCTTCAGTAAAATTACCAAGGTGACCCAAGACTGTGGTTCACTGGTTCATAAATAACTTCTCTTTGTATATTCCATAAACAACCTAAAGATATATTTTGACTAGTAAGTAGCAATCTGATTATAATCTGTAAAACCCATGACAATGGATGAGCATATTTGCATAAACTATGACAGATAATTAAAAGTTACTACAAAACAGTTAACTAGGCTGGGCACTGTGGTTCACACCTATAGTCCAGCACTTTGGGAGACAGGAAGACTGCCTGTGGCTAAGAGTTTGAGATCAGCCTGGGCAACACAGCAAGATCTTGTCCTTACAAAATAATTTTAAAAATTAGCTCGACAAGGTGGTGTGTACCTGTTATCTCAGCTACTTGGGAGGCTGGGGTAAGGGAATGGCTATGGCCCAGGAGTTTGAGGCTGTAGTTAGCTACGATCGCACCACTGCACTCTAGCCTTGGTGACAGACAGAGGCCCTGTCTCAAAAAAAAAAAAAAAAAAAAAATTTAAAA